AGGCTTCCCGCCAAGCAGGAGCCCCATGTGGGGCTCGATCATAGGACCCCGACTCAGATCATGACCTGAGCCAAAGGCAGACGCTTAACGACTGAGCTACTCAGGTGCCCCCACGATTTTATTTTCAAGAAAATCCCTATACCTGACGTGGGGCTTGAACTCACAACGCTGTTGGTCAACCGTCGTGGGCTCTACTGACTGAGCCAGCCAGGTGCCCCCACATCGTCACAAATTAACGAAAGCCACGGCTGACCCTTTTTTCATCCATGATACTAATGAAATCTTAGGTCAGGCATATGAAATCTTTAGTCGAAAAGAAGATGCCTTTTTTAAAGCCTTTATTTTTAAGTCCTAGCTATACCCTACGTGGGGCTTGAACTCACGACCCTGAGATCAAGAGTCCCCCGTATCACCGACTGAGTCGGCCAGATGCCCCTGGATGCCTACTTTAAAAACGGTCTAACAGCGTCTAACAGAAGAGAACACAAAGGCCATATGAAAATATACGTTTACTGGATTCCACGGAGGAACACGAAAAGTCCATTTATGACATTTTTTTTTCCCATTAAAGGAAATGAACAGACGGTAAGTGCTACCCATTCCTGGGAGTCTGAGCACTAGTAAGATAAATTAAATGAAATTCCAGTCTCGTCATTTCCGGGGAGCCCCCTCCATCCTCGTACATCACTGGCTGCCCCCAGTTGCCAAAACGGATGCCACCATGTTGTGGGGCACCATCGGGCCCGGGTAGCCATGGCAGAGTGCACGCGTGCTGTCCCTTCGACTGGACTCGTACTGTCCCTTCGACTGTCCCTTCGACTGTCCCTTCGACTGGGGCACGTACAACCACACGTGCGTGAGCGCCGGCAGAGGCACAGCTCGAGGGATGCGTGACCCACACCCCAGATGGGAAGCCCGAGGCTCACGCACATCCCTCCAGGGGTGGCCGTCTGTCCCCAGGCCATGCGAGTCCCAGCGGAGGGCAAGACCTAGCCTGCTCAAGGTCAGCTGAAGGACGGGCACTTCTGTAGCAGGTCCTAGCAGCAAAATGCCACAGCCCCTGTCCCACAGCCTCGGCCCTCCGGGTCCTAACCCTTGAGATCCAATGTCCGGCCATCAGACGGGGAAGGGCTTCCAACAGGATGAGTAACGGAGACGAAAGCCAACCACAGCCCTGGGGAACCATGAAGCCATGAAGGCATAAGCAGCCATTAGTGGACGTTTTCTCTTTTCTTGGGTCTAGTTTAGAGGAAAACTAACTTGTTAACTATGGAAAACTGAGATGGTCCACAAAGCAAGCACTTTTCTTTCCTTAACCACCGTCGTGCTGTTTGGATTTTAAACCTTGCTGATGTCTTGCAGACGCATGGGAAACAGAGAGGAGTTAACGAAATCTGCATATTCGTTACCCAAATCCTAATAATACACAGGATTACATCATTAAAGAAGAATAAACCTTCCTTATCCCGTATTTTAGAAAGAAGGCACCTTTTAAAGAGTTGGGTATGAACACATTTCTTGAGAAGGAATTCTATTATCCTACAGTGTTTTTGTTCTGATTTTTTTACAGATGCTTTTTTTTTTTTTTTTTAATCACAGAAAAAAAGGTCCTGAAAACACAGCCAGATTTGTGAGGCCCTCTGGGTTCAGCATCGGGATAAGCACATCCCGTGGGTTTCTGCGAGACTGCCTGGGCTGGGGGCTCTCCCACATTCACGTGAGCATTTATTTCATATGCTGCGTTCACAAGCTTGAAATTTGGTAACAGAATCCCAGAGCTCAATAGGTACCTGCTTTGTAAGATCAATTTTACCCATAAAATCAAGCTGTCATTATACCGAATTTTTAATAGCACTGATTCATACGCCCCAACCTAAAGCCAAGACTTTTAACGCACACCCAACAGTCCGTTTTAACTCCAACTCCCCCATTTTAATGCACAAAAACTTAAGCATGTTACAGTAATGCACTTGTGAGTTCTTTCCCACTGTAATGGGCGTAATGATACTAGTTCATGATTAAATTATGTCACTCAACTTGCTGAGACAACTAAATTATAATGTTATGATAATTATGGAATTATTAAATTATAGAGAAGACACTTACAAGGGATTCGTGTTTCAAACGGGTGGAAATGGAATGGTAGCTCAGAGTGTTTGGAAAATGAGTACTTAATGCGTCTGGAACACTCTGGCCTCGAACTAATCAGGACACATGGTCACGGGACTTTCACAACACGCACGTTCGGGTCTAATTTCCTGCAAGCGGCGACGTGCCGGTGAGCCAGTCCTCTCTGAGAGCGGCACAAAGCCTGGATTTGCTGTGTCCGCTGAGTCCCGTGGAGCCAACATGCCTGACGCGGACGGACTCGAAGTCGGCGATGGTTGAACGGCACGCGGGAAAGATTCCCGACCGAGCGGGGGCTGGCTCCCACCAGCGACTCAATCCCGATCTTAATCTCTGTTTCCTTTTCCTTTTTTTTTGTTTTTTAAGATTTTATTTATTTATATGACAGAGAAAACAGGAAACAGAGCATGAGCAGGGAGGGGAGAGTCGAGAGAGACTCAACCCCAGGACCCTGAAATCATGACCTGAGCCAAAGTAAGACAATTCACTGACGGAGCCCCCAGGCGTCCTTTCTTTTCTTTCCTCCCCCCGCCCCCCATTTTCTTGTCTAATGAAGTATTGCGAGCTCAGGCGGCCCCTGTCTTATCTTTAAGAATCAGGGACAGTGTCCCAGCACAGAGTATGACGGTCACCGGCAATCTCTTTCCCAAGTAGCTCAGAGATGGTCTCAGCCAATCAGGCCAAGCCATACTGTGAATAGGTAAGTCCGTGTGGACGAGAGTCACACCTCCCCTACGCACTTCTGTATGCACAGCCCTTGACTCCACTGGCCGAGATCATGGCCCAGGCCTTGTGCAACCGCCAAAGGCACAGTATCTGGTCAGTTTTGTTCACTGACGGACACTCGTCCTAGCACAGACGGCCCCCCTAGTAGGTGCTCAAAAGCATTTGTAGAACAAATAAGTCGGCGATGTACTGGGTAGACAGCCCCACAGCCCGTGACCGTGGTGATCGTGGACAAGCACCGTTGTCAACTTTCAGATACGACGTCAAAGGCGAGTCACAGAGGGGCATAGACACGCACCGTGCGTCGAGACCCCTTCGCTGCAGGGACGCCTCTAGCCCCAGAACACCGCCCCGTCTCCTTTCCTGCAGCAGACGTTCAAGGGTTACACAACAGAAGGAAATGTCACTGGGGCGTGTCTGAGAAGCACATTTCATCCCAGCTGCCTGTCGGAATCTGGGTCTCGTTTTTCTCACACACTCCTACTTTCTGTCTGTTTCTGTGTGTCTGTCTGTCCTCCACAGCGAGCACGTCTGTAGCCCCTGAACCCATATATTCCTTCTGGCTCCTCCGACCGCAGGTGATGGCGGTGGGGGGCGGGGTGCCGGCTTTCGGGAAATGCAGTTCTGTGAGGTTGGGGACAGGCTACCACATTTCTCTCACCAGCAAGGAGTCCCAGAAACCTGTGCTTCAAGACTCCCTATAAACACGACTGGGAAGGCGGACCCGCGTCCCAGGCCTTCGACGGCTACGCTGACCGTTTCCATCCGTCTGAACGAGAGAGCGCATCCCTACGGACGTCTGGAATGAGAGACTCACTGGCGAGATCAGTGAACGGAACGCTCCTGGCCCAAAACCCTGAACTCACGCTTCTGTCCTATTTGTCTGCTGGGGAACCGTGCACGGAAGCCGCCCGGGTTTCAGGCAGAAACTCGTCAGCCTGCTCGGGTACCTGCCGCGAACGCGACGGCTGAAATTTTCCACTTTCACCCGAGCGGCAAGGCTGCTCTTGAAACCAGCCCGCAGCAGACGGGCGGGGTGCGCGGTGGGGACTGGGGGTGTGGAAAAGCAGCACTAACGTTACCCCGAGGTCAACGGGGAGCCCTCGGGTGGGAGGTGCGGCACCGCCAGCCTCCCGCAGCAGGACCCAAAGCTCAAGACCGAGAAGGGGAGTCCTCCTTCACGTCTGAAGAGGAAACGGAGAGATCCTCCTCGACAGGGACCTGCCACACGGGCAGCGCTGGCAGAAACCATTTTCCACATGTGCCCACGCCTCGTGGCGATCTGAGCAGCACGGCGATTCTAAGTTTAAAGACCCGGGAAAGAAAAAAAAAAAAAAAAGAAACGCTATCCCTACAGCAAGGACGACGGCCCGCTACCTCTGTTCCTTCACGCCCGTGACCAACACAACTCCCAAAGTGGGAGCGGAAACCCGGACTCCGTGCCGATTCGGGCTGAGCACATGGCGCAAAGGACACCCGGTGGGGGACGTACAAGGACACGGAGGCATCTGGACTGAGCGTGCAAGGTCTGAATCCAGCTCCTGCCCTGGCACGGCCGAGGCTTCGGGGAGAGAGCCGCACGCACATCTACGGGCCATTCCGCGGGACAGCGCAAAGCTCCAGGAGGGCACAAAGCGCTAGACGGCGGGCACGGGCTGTATTGCAGCAGGCACCAGGAGGCGGGCACTGCAAAGCTGCTGAGCTTTCCCCGAAATGCAAGAGAAGGGGAGTTCTTCCGAGCAGACAAGGCACACACACAAGGCATGTGCCCCGGAGAGCAGAGGTGCCGGTTTCGCTGCACGTCAGCCTGAGAAGGACCGCGTCCTGCGGGTCAGAAGCTGGGCGGGCAGCCAGCCAGTGGGCCATGAAGGACGGGGGCCGCCATGCCCAGCCGCAACCTGGGCCCTCCTCGGCCTGGGAGGAAGAGCCGCTCATGGGTCAGGGCCAGGGTCCACTGACTTCGTGCCTGCAGAGTGGCGGGACCAGAAGGAACAACAGAAGACAGGAGGAGGAGCTCAGGGCAAAGCACTGTGACCCACGGAAGCGTCCCCTGGCCTCTCCAGGGCAAAGAGCTCTCGCCATCTCATCTCCCTGCACGGCACCGACGGCGGACGTCTTAGAAGCAGGGAAAGGCGTGTTTTACTCACTGTTCTGAGGGCGCCAGCGCACAGCGTTTAAGTAGAAGTTGCAGTAATGGAAGAGAAACTCGTGATCGGAGTGTTGGGTCTTCCCCTGCAGCAGCGGCATCAGGTCCCGTCCGTCGATGATCCTGCGGGACAAACCAGGGAGGCATCAGCTGGGAAACGGCCACATCATTCTTGGGCTCAATCATCCCAACCTTTGAGTGGTCCTTCCCATACATGACAGCAGGAGTCAGTCTCCTGGTTAGTACAAAGAGCACCCACAGACCCCTCTCAGGTGCCATATGCAACCCCACGGGGCCAATTCCGGTCTCGTAAAAACTCCTTTAATCCTGCACCATGAGCCGGGACCATTGTCATCCCGGGGCGATGAGTTGATGTAACGTCAACCAGAAAGCGTACACGACTTACCCGAGGTCATGGGATTGGGACTGGCCTTGAGGGAAACACACGTTACCCGCCACTAGACCAATCCAAGTCATTGATAGCACCAGGCCCCATCATCGAAACGGGGCACAGAGAGCGATTTGGAAAGAGCTGGATTCCCCTGACGGTTCTCTTCCTCTGATTACAAACACTCCATCTCCTGTCACCCCTTATCGTGAGGAATTTAGAAACTAGAAGGCAGACTGGGCTATACCATTGGAGTTAGTGTCGTGTGAGGTTTAAATATCCTGGAGTCCCTAAAACCCCCGTCCTAGAATTCCAGCCCCGTTGGGTAGCACTTCTCTGGCCCCATCCCTCGTTATTAATCACGAGCTCCGCAGCAGCCCATGGACTGAAAATATTCTATTATCGCGAGTTAAAAATAAGAACAAAAGGCCCCCTTGGCCCCTTCCCAAGCCCACGCCCCAGGTCACCATGAGAGGAGGAGATGGAAGCAAAGCAGAAACACGCTTCTATTGAGAACCGGCTTGCTCTCTGAAACGTTCTTTCTGTCCCAAAACGGCAGTCATGGTGCTTTGGTCCTTTCCAATCCCTTTTGAGAAAGAGCCCGTCCGTACGCATATGCAAGTCTGAGTACTTGCCCGAGAGTGAGCCGGTGTAAGTGTCTGAAGGGGAGAACCCCGGGAGATAAAAAGTGACCCAGAGGAGGGGACGGAGGACTGCAACCACCACCCCCTCCTGGGACCACCACCTCACATGGAGAGCCTTTCCAGGACCCCTCAGGACAGACTCTCTTCTTCATCTCCTGGACACGGTCTCTACCTCTATGTCCTTGTTCTTTGGATGTAGACCTACAGCTTTTTTTTTTTTTTTTTTTAATATCCTACACCGTCCGTACTCCTCCCTAGAAGTGGGCCACAAATCACACGGCCACGAAAACCACCGTGGACGAGAGCGACAGAAATATGGCCTGTCAAAACGGGGCTCGTTTCTGCCATAAAAAATGGAGAGGGACACTGCACGCGCTCAACTTTTAAGGGGCGCCTGGACCGTTGGCACCCTGGGGATTTTTTAAGCCGCGTGTGCGAGTCACAGTGAGCCGTGGCCGTGACCCAGAGACAGCACACGTCTGCGGACATTGCCCGCACGGAAATGTTCCCATGACGTCACAACCTGGGGGACCGGGGCCGAGGCTCTCTTGACGTGACACGAAGCATCATTGTGTCCTCTCCAGAGTCCCCTTCACTGGCCTTTCCTGCCGACAGGTTCAAGTTCTCAGAGCACACGGGCACACAGAGCCCCGCTATGAAACGGCACGGAAGCCTCCAGAGCGTCCGCCGGATTCTGTGACATGCCAGTTCCTCAGACAGGCTGTTTCATGCAGAGCATGAGGTAGGAATGTTCCCCCACGGGTTCCTGTGCCACAACGACAGTCACGAGGTCAAGCATCCGTGTCCAAGCACCGTGCATTTCAGAACCTCTGGTTAGCTTCAGTACCATGGGGACGACCTTCCTGTCACAGCAAAGAGCGCGTTTTGGGGACGTTCCTGGGGCTCCAGTAAGTCTCATTTCCCCCTGGCTTCTGTCTTAGCTCTGAACCAGGGAACCGTCTGCCCGGATGTCCTCACCTGTACCTGGCCGGCTCTCAGATTTGCGGATCATACGACAAAGGAAAGTTGTGCGGGTCGGGCGACGGAAAACAGACGACTTGGGGGGACTGGCAAAGAGGTTAATTTGGGTCACAAAGTTCATGAGTGACCTGCGCCATATTGAAAGTAAAGTGATTTCTTCAATGTAGAAAGTAATAGCGAAGAAAACACTTTTGGGGGAAGGTACGTGCATCTTTCCCAAACGAAGGGAAACCCCAAGTAACCAGAAGGTTGTAACATAAAACACACTTCCCTTTGTAATCCTGCAACTCGCTAAGTCAAACATCATGCAAGGTTGCTTGTACGTGACGGTGTGTACAGGACGAGTCCCAGCTTTTACTCCCCAAAACACAAGGGAAGTAGTTTTATTTGATGGACTCCGACCACCTACTCTTCTGTAGTTCCCTAGCGACTGGGCAGCGAAATTAAACAGGAGCATCAAGTCACTCCCCCGTCTTCATCGCACAAAACTGGTACCAAACATTCAAGCACTGATCTCTTTTCTTAACCTGAAGAAAAAAAAATCACATTTTAATTTTATTTTCTTTACGGGAGAGGAGACCTAAGTGTTCCGCCTTCTGTAAAAGGTGATTCTCAAGCCGTGCTTGAAAATGACGACGTGAATGCATTATAATGACATTTTCCGTAAAAGAGCAACGGGGAGCCTGAGACCAGCATCTGGGAACCCCCAGCACTGCTAACATATTGGCTGAATTATTCTTGGTCGTGGGAAGCCGTCTTGAGCCTTGTAGGATGTTTGGGGCCATCCCTAGCCTCTGGAGGCCAGCGACACTGAGTCAAGACCATCGAAAATATCTCCAAGGCCCGGTCCATGGCTGCTGGGAGACAGAACCACCCGGGTGAGAACCGCCACGTTGGATGTTGCCCGTCTCCCGGACACATACATGGCGATGTTTTCTGGACCTGGCTGGTATCATGATTTAAATCAGATACTGTGGGACTGATTCTATTTCCACGAAGGATGTGGAGGCCGAGTTCCGTGCCCTTCTCTGCGCCGTCTCCAGGACGAGGTGGCGTTCTCTGGGGTCCGTCAGCTCCCTCCAGAGCCAGCATCGCTGCCCCGAGCTGGGTCTACACGCGTCAGTGAGATCCATGAGAACCATCTTCGCGACTGCGAACGGGGGTTCTTACCAAGGTCACAGCTCCCGCGTGAACTAATTTGGGCGTGCTGAAGACAGAGGCCGCTTCCGTCTTCACTGGGCGCACAGAAGGAAAACAGACGTACGTCCGTGACCGTCAGACTGCCACGGGCAGGAGGCGTGAGACAAGATTCCCCTCAGCGGATTTTCCTCCTTGCCTCGGACCTGTCCCTCCCCCTCTCTTTCCGCGAATAGCACAGAAACCCACTTACAGATACCGGGAAGGGAGAGGCACTGCCCATTTTAAGACTCTGAGCGCTGAGAGGAAAAGGTCAGTCGTGAAATGACCTGAACACTGTGTGTGCTGCTTAAGGAAAGATGAAGTTTTACTCCAAGGGTAGGAATAAGGGCAGATGAGACAGGGCGTGAGATGTCCGGCTTTACATAGAGCAACGTTTTATGACTTCCTAGGGCCACGTTTTCTGTCTGTCCTTGAGGCAGCAAAGACGTAGGCTAAGCAGACTACAATGCCACCGAGCTCTCCCCCGTCAGGACTCTAGGACTGCGGAGGAGCTCTGACTGGGGGAGAAGATAGAACTGCGGCCACATACTCCTTCGCCCTCAGTGTGGCTGGAACCCCACAAGGTTCACCTGCTTCCGTGCTCTCATGCTGTCAGTCCTCCCACGGGGCCTGCAGGGTCGGCGCCCTTATGGAAGCCACGTTCCGGACGAGGAACGCAGGCCCACGATGTGAAGCACAGACCCAGCGCAGAAGCCAAGATCGGAACCCAAGCACGGTCCCTGCTCTCAGACATGGCACCAGATGCCCTCAGACTGCGGCCCAGAGACCCATGGGGAACCCCAAGACCCTTCAAAGGGTCGCACGAGGCCAGCACTGTTTTCCCTGAGAAGACCAGATGCTCTCTGCCTGAGCGACGGCCCGCGCAGGAGCACACAGCACCGTCTCCCTGCGTTCACGGCGGGAGAGGACACCATCGAGGTCCGCAGGTGGGGGCTCTTGTGCGTTCACAATGTTTTCAGGTTTGAAGGCTCCTAGGGTAAGTGTCGCCAGACAGAAACCACATAAACAAAAAGTCTTTGGGTTCGTCAGCCACGGAAGATGTACGCGGGCGATGAGACCACAACGTTGGCGCAGGCTGAGCTGTCCAACGCTGCCTCGGCTCTGGCATGTGTGTGTGCGCGTGTGCATGTGTGCGTGCACGTGTGTGTGCACATGCTTGTGGGGCGAGATACACTGAAGCAACAACTTGCGAAGAATAAAAGACAAAACAAGTTTAGAAGCAACAAGGCTGCGCAGGCACTGAGCTCAGACGGGGCTGCCCTGGCCTCTCCGGTTTCCCGTTTCCTCTTCGTTCGCGGGCGGCCGGCCTGACTCAAGCTCTGACGCCCGCCTGCATGACATTGGCGCGGCCTGCCGCCGAACTAATGACGACAAGTAATCAGCACGCCTCACTGAGAACTCTTCAGACTGGCCATAACACTTAAGAAGAAACCATCGGCCGTGTCCCAGGAAGTTGTATTTAAATGTAAGAGAAAGACGTTTCATTGAGAACTTGCTAAGTGAAGACACCCTGGGAGCGAGGGAAACAGCAGCTGAGAGTGACCCCAAGCAGAGGATGGGGTGCCAGGCACGGTGGGTCACAGAGGCGGCTGCCCAGCTGCCCTGTGACAGCCAGAGGACCCGGGATCGGTGGGAGGTTGAAAGCACAAGGCTCACGCGAGCCACAGACCACACACGCACGCCACACCTCGCCGCCGATTTCCTCCTGGGATAACGGGACGGATGGTGTTTCCGCAGCAGCGGCTGCACCGCTCAGTCCCCGAACTGGTCGTGGATGACGAGTCCGGCCACGGACAGCTGCGGCGTCACGCAGACAAACCAACCCCACGTGCGTGTGAGCCACAGTACCTGTCCTCGGGCAGCGGCGATCCGGCGAGGTTGGCCACCGTAGGAAACAGGTCCATGTTGCTCGTTGGCTCGTCGATCTCCAGCCCGGCCTGGATCACCCCCGGCCAGCGCAGAATGCCGGGGACGCGGATACCGCCTTCCCAGTTGTTTGCTTTTCCCCCTGGAACACCAAGCACAGAGGCAGCAGGGAGACGTATGTCTTTCCAAAGCCCGGTTTAAGGCTCATTTCAGTACGCTCTCCCATGCCCACCATGGGGTGGGAGATCTGGAAGAAGAAAGTGCTCCAGTGACATGGATTCACTGAAAACTCTGCGAGCAGGACAGCACTCACAGTGGTGGAAAAACAATACCACGTGTTCCCTACTGTGCACGGCACATGCCAGCTGTGCCCGGTGGCCATGAGCTACGGCTGTCACCCGGGAAACTCAACTTCCAAAGCAAGAAGGGACTCCTGTCTATGACTACAGAGTCACAAGTTAAAAGTCCATTTGTACGTTTTGCTAGTGGTCATGGGCAAAGCAATGGCACCCCGAAATGTCCATGTGTTCGTCCTTAAAACCTGGGGATGCGGTACCTTCCCTAGCCAAAGGGCTTAGGATCCTGGGTTATCTGAGTGGGACCAGTGTGATGTGATCACAGGGGTCCTCGTAAGGGAAGGAGGGAGGCAGGAGAGTCAGAATCAAGGCAGAGAGGCTGGCTGAGGCTTCGCGACTGGGCCTGAAGATGGAAGAAGGTGCCCACACCAAGGAATACGGATGCTCTAGACGCTGGAAAAGGCCTAGAAACACAGTCTCACCGGGAGCCTTCCCAAAGGCACACAGCTGTGCCAACACCTTCATTTTCGCACGGGTGGACCCATATTGGACCCCTGGACTCCAGAACTATAAGATAATCAATCTGTGTTGTTTTGAGGGACCAAAGCTCTGGGCAGCCATAGGAAAGGAAAACTCCAGCTCTGCGGTTCCCCGGTCCGCACCTCACACCCCCAACACAGTCGGCTGAGTATTTTGTGGGATTATCCCCATCGCCAAGTGCAGTGCCCGGACAGCAGAAGAGCCCCTGAGATGGCCGTTTCCATCAATGCTTGTACTTTACAAGCAGGACAGCTTACTGTTTCCTTGAGGAAACGAGCTTTGTCAATTTGAGGTCACTTGACTATAAGCAGGCAGAGCACGGCAGGGGTAAGGGGACTGGACGTCATGGCACGCTAGGCTCCGCGGGGAGGGGCTCTGCAGGAAAGATGCTCTCCAAGGCCTGCAGAGAATGCGCCTGGAGGGACATGAGCAGCGGCTTGCTGGCAAGGAGCTTGGAGAGCCCAGGGCTGGATCCCCCCAGGCCACGCAGGAAGCGCACAGACAGACATAAAAGCAGATGCCTGGTTCCCACCAAAGTCGTTCCCCACAGCTTTAAAACACGCTGAGCACAGCTGAGCAGCCCAGGTCTAATAACCACTGGATGTCAGGCTGGAAAGAAGGGAGAGAACGGACGTTCGGCTGCTTGAAAATACCTTTTCAGGCTTTAGAAGAAGAATGAAATAAAGAGGGAAATGGAGAGAGTTGAAGGAGAACGCAGATGTGTGGCAGGGAGAGAATGCAGGAAAACGATGCATGGTTAAGGAAGGCTGCAAATGCGCTTGCAACTTAAAAAATGGATTGCCAGAGACAGAGGTTGAAGGGGTCCTGAAGCAAAGCTTCCCTTCGTCATGCTGCCTTTTATGACCACGACCCTGAATTCTGACCATTGCAGAATGAACTGTAGCTCACGAAGGTAGCCTGAACTCCTCTTATAAGATCTTTAAACGTCATGCACTGAATGTTTTCTACATACAGACGTCAGGGAAAATTCACACAAAAATTCATCTTATGGTCTGCAGTTCCTATAACGGCCTCCACGAGAAGTCAAAAGTATCGCGCTCAACCTTTTCAACAGGATCTTAAGGTAATTATCTGACAAATACTGTCACACTCGCATCACAGGTATCCTATCAAAGAATAGGGAAGTTCAACGACTTTGCCATCATTTAGTCAAGCTGTCCATAGCTGAGTGACCTACGAGAGGAATCTCAACGTCTGTCTTAGTCTGATTATCCGTCTGTGAGATCGAGCACACAGAACTTTCACCTGCTCATTCGTCTACAAGATCAGGCTCACGGCATTTCACCTGCTTATCCGTCTGTTCGATCAAATGCCCAAGGTGCACCTGTTTACCCTTCCACCAGATCGAGATAATGGGATTTTCACCTGCTTACCCAAACTCAGAGAATTTAAACTTGCTTATCCCTCTACCAGATCAGACTCACAGACTTTCATCTACGTGTCCTCTTACTAGATCAAGCTCACGGGATTTAAACTTGCTTATCCCTCCACTAGATCATGCTCACAGGATTAAAATTTCCTTATCCCTCTCCTAGATCAGGCTCACAGACTTTCATCTACGTGTCCTCCTACTGGGTCAAGCTCACAGGATTTAAACTTGCTTATCCCTCTCTTAGATCAAGGTCACAGACTTTCATCTACATGTCCTCCTACTAGGTCAAGCTTACAGGATTTAAGCTTGCTTATCCCTCTCCTAGATCAAGGTCACAGACTTTCATCTATGTTTCCTCCTACGGGGTCAAGCTCACAGGATTTAAACTTGCTTATCCCTCTACTAGATCAAGGTCACAGACTTTCATCTATGTGTCCTCCTACTGGGTCAAGCTCACAGGATATAAACTTGCTTATCCCTCTATGAGATCAAGGTCACAGACTTTCATCTACGTGTCCTCCTACGGGGTCAAGCTCACAGGATATAAACTTGCTTATCCCTCTATGAGATCAAGGTCACAGACTTTCATCTATGTGTCCTCCTACGGGGTCAAGCTCACAGGATATAAACTTGCTTATCCCTCTATGAGATCAAGGTAATAGACTTTCATCTATGTGTCTTCCTACTGGATCAAGGTCACAGGATTCAAACTTGCTTATCCCTCTCCTAGATCAAGGTCATAGGCTTTCATCTATGTGTCCTCCTACGGGATCAAGCTCACAGGATTTAAACTTCCTTATTCATCTACTAGATCAAGCTCAAAGACTACCATCTGTTTATTCTTTGAGATCAAAGATTATGCACATGCAAACCTTTCTACTAGATGAACCTCATACTATTTCACCTGCTTGTCCTACTGGATCAAACTCATAGATTTTTCATGTTTATCCTTCTGTAAGATTTAACTCACAGGATATGCACATGCTTTCCTTTTACCAGATGAACCTCACCAAAATTTCACCCATTATTCTACTAGATTAAGCTCATGGAATTTAAAAAAAAATCTATTCTACTAGGTCAAACTCATAGACTTAACTCTGAGTCTTCTTCAAGTTCAAACTCATAGAACATTCACCGGCTCTCCTTCTAGATGAACCTCATATAATTTTCAGATGTGTATCATTCTGTGGGATCAAGCTGATAAAACACGCCACTGGCTATCCTTCTACTAGACCGAGTTCATGGAACCTCCCTCTAAATTTACGAACAACAAAGGAAGTTTGCTATATAACGTAAAGATGTTGATATTTATTGTCCCACTGGTTAACCTAACATAAAATAAATAAATCAGAAAGTAGACCAAAATACCACAATAATGAAAAAGAATCCTTTAAGAATGTATCATCCGGGTACAAGGTGGTGTTGCAGATGGGATCCTGAAATGAAAGAGTGCATTAGTGGAAAACGTGTAGCTCAGTTAAAGGCGATGTTCCAAGGTTAGTCTCTCGATAAGTAATCGTGGTTATGCAGAGAGTTGACACTGCAGGAAGCTGGGTGCAGGGAAAGCCGTAGCTACCTTTCATATCTCCGTAATTCTGTTAACCTGTACTGATTCCAAAGTAAAAGCTATCCTAAATAGAGATGGTATTTGTGTGTTCCCCCCGTTGACTAAGTACTTGGCATCCTCTACATCACCTTAGGGAAAACAATATGAATTACTTCACAGGGTTTTATATGTAGTGTGGTTTCATTTTTTAAAAGATTTTATTTCTTTATTTGAGAGAGAGAGCAAGTGGTGGAGAGGGGCAGACCAAAAGGGACAAGCAGACTCTGGACTGAGCCGGGACTCTAATGTGGGTCTTGATTCCAAGACCTGAGCCAAAGTCATTTGCTTAACTGTCTGAGCCCCCGGGGCACCTCATATGTACTTTTTCTAATGGCTCACATTTAATTGATCATGTACTATGGGATATGTAGTAGGATATGCATTTCATTCACTAAATGCTTACATCTACCTCACAAGGGCTCTACGACGTCTTCCCATCTACAGAAGCAAAGTCGGATGGCCTATAATATGCATCTCATCTCATTAAATCATTACACCTACCCCGCACGGTGGTGCTACAGTCACTGTACAATTTCTAGATGGTGCTACCGTCACTGACCAATTTCTACCTATCCCTACACCTGAGGGGGCTGAGCAAAGTTACGTACTGAGGGTCACTGATCTGGTGAGCCAGAGCACACATACAAATCCAGCTTGGTTCCACACTGAGGTCTGTGACTTTGCACGATTCCTCAATCCCACCCCATCTCTGCTGCAGGAGAAAGCCGGCGCTGGCTCGCCTGTGTATGGCTAGAAGAGGACCACAGGTGGGCTGGATTTAGAAATGCAGAAAGATAACTCTAAACTGTAGGTTTAAGAAACAGGAGGGACACTGAGCACCTTCTTTTACCTTCTCTACAGTCAACAGATGCATCTTCCTTAAGGAAAAAGGCAGTGTCCGAGGACAATCTCCCGGGGCTCCCCGGGTGAAAGTAAAGGGACAGCAGCGGCAAATCCACATGTGAGCGGGACTGAGATGGGCCAAACTTCCCCTGTCTTGGCTAGAGCTCCCCTGTCTTAGAATAGGACTGCCATGAACATGGGGCACAGACATCTCTTCAAGATTCTGACTTCATTCCCTTTGGACATGTACCCGGACCTGGGACTGTGGGACCAAACGGAAGTTCTGTTTTTAATCTCCTGAGGAACCTCTACCCTGTTTCCCAGAGTGGCTGCACCATTTTGCATTTTCCCATCAAGAGTGCACGAGGGTCCCCTTTTATTCACATCCTCACTGACACTTATCTTTTGTCACAACCGCAAAGATATGGAAATACATGTCTGTCAACGGACGAATGCAAAAAGAA